ATTTGTTGGTTTTAGTTTGTAAGTACTATTCTTCTTGTATCTCTCTCCTCTCTCTCTCTCTCTCATTTTGTAATCTCTCTCTCTCTCTCTCTCTCTCTCTCTCTGGTATGTATTTCCAAGGTTTTCAATCCTATGCCATGTGGATGAATCGGGGGAAGTGGGCTTGATATGAATTTCAAATTTTATGTCCCGGAAGGTGATGATGTTTTAATCACAGAGCTTCTTCGCAGCTGCCAACATGGGGTCAATCCCTACTAGCAGGCAGCACCCTTATTATACCTAAAACTTAGTTTACTTGATCTCCCTTTTTCTTCCAGTCTTTTAATATGCTTACTCTTCACTTGATATCACTTGGGCGGACTGTAATTTCTTATAATCGTGTTAGTTGTTGTTCACGGTTGAAAGCCCAGCTGTCAATAGTTCCTTAGAATCCTCACACTTCATGTAAGCTGTTGAATGTACATTTCTTTTTGGTTTACGTGCGCGGCAACTCAATCAATTTGCAGCAAGACACATCTTAAGAGCTCTCTCTCTCTCTGTCTCTCTCCCTCTCTCACTCACACACACACACCACAAAGCAAAATGCAAAATGATGATTAGCACATTTGGGAGTCACAGGCTGATGGCTCCTTCACGGTGACAAAGGATGTTAGTGGGGCCATTAGCAGGGCACCAAATTACCCTCTTCTCGAAGGAGGATCAGGTGAGCTTTTTGCAAATCTTTCTTGTTTAATGATTCTAATGTGCATGGTTTTCCTTTTGCTGCCTCCATGCTTTCTCCTGTCACTGTGGCGCGGTTTGAGTTTTCCACTAGTAGGGCCCAATTAAGATTTCAGAGTAGATTTGTAGTTTCACATGATTTTTCAGAGCTCTAATTTTGAAGCCTTGGTAATTTTCTTAATTTGGAAATAAGAGCAAGCTTTATGAAACCTCCCGGATTTTCACAACTTTATACTCCTTAATGAGGAACCTGACAATTTTACATAGCTTTCACAAAAAAGTTGCCAAGACTTGTTTAGGTAAAATTAAATTATTGGCCTGGTTCGTAGGGACCTCCAAATGAAGAAAGAGGAGGGCCTGATCACTCATTTTTTTTGTTTTTAGGATATGGTAAATTCTGGAGATGAGAGTCTCTCTCTCTCTACTTCCGTACTGTATTCGTTTGTACCTTTGTTGTTAATGTCAGTCAGTATTTTCCAAACGCTTGATTTGATGTTGTTGCAATACGAGTACCTTGAAGAGAGGAAACTCAATGACTTGGTGAAGAAGTATTATGAGTTCATCAGCTGTCCCATCTACACAAGAAAAAGAAAGGTGGTTAAGGAAGTGGGCCATGGCTGGGTTCTGGTTAACAAGCAAAATCTCAACTGGATGAGAAAGCCGGAGGAGATAACAAAGGAAGAGTGTGCTTCTTTCTACAAATCACTGACCAACGACAGGGAAGATCACCTTAACCTTACTGTTAAGCATGTCTCAGTTGAGGACCAGCTTGAGTTCTGGGCTATTCTCTTTGTTCCAAAGAGGGCTCTATTGACCTCCTTGACACAAAAAAGAAGCTGAACAACATCAAGCTCTATGCTCACAGGGTGTTTTCCATGGGCAACTATGAGGAGCTTATCCATGGACGCCAAGGATTTGTTAAGGGAGTGGTTGACTCTTATCACTTGCCCCTTAACATCTCTAGAGAGATGTGGCAGATAGAGCTGGTCGATTCCCAGAGAGTGCAGAGAAGGGTATCCACTTTTTGGAGAGGCATAGATGCCTATCATTCTCTATTAATCAGGTATAGTCCGATGCTCTATTGGGAGATGGGAGATACAATAGGTTTTGGACAAACAGATGGCTGAGATTTTGCCCCTTATCCGTAAGCTTAAAGAAAATGGGACCCGTCACTCGAATGTTGTTGTAAGATGTCTAAACGTTGGACCTGAACCTCGGCCCAGTTCCGATCAACTCATCATTACCGAGCCAATTTGCAATTGTTCGTCCTTGCCACGAATAAACTTTATTTGCTCCGTAATCCTCCTTGACCCTAGTCTATCTATTTAGAAAGATCTCAGTAGTGGTCATAATCTGGCCATTGTGGCAAAAAAGAAACAACAAATTCTTAATGCGAATACACAAGTGCAACTATTTTTAACTGAATTGATAGCCACAATCACCTCATCAATCAAGGAAGGCATCTTGGGGATTCAGCATGGTAGATATGAACGGCCCCCGTGTTATTGAGATATCAAAATGTTAGCAAGAGCAGCACTGCTTCTAGGCATTCCTCTCTCCTTGACGACAGACAACAAAGGCCGGCTTCGGAAGCAACACTATTTGGTGGGCTACTCTTCAAAAAATTGTTGCCATTATCAATCAAAATCGATCTAAAACCAAGTGGCTAAAAAAGTCAAGTTCATTTATTGCCGTAGACAAACAAATTTGAAAGCCAAGTTCAAAACGTCGAGTTCCGTTATTATAGAGACTAATTCGAAAGACGATGGGCTTGATAGGGAAGGAATCTCAAAATCATCCTCAGCTTCCAGTTTAGTACTTATATTTGTTGTGTACAATACAAGGACTGGACACGTTTTTTATGTACAATGCTAAATACATACACTAGTATGTAATTTTTAACGAGTCGAAATTCAACACACAAGTTTCAGTTCAAATTAAACACACAAGTTTCAGTTTCCCATTTCATAACCTATATTGGCCCAAAAGTTACGGCGTGAGCCCAACATTCACCATGTTAGGTTCTCAAGCCTACCAAGAAGGGGCATCATATTAATCATGCAAATTTTCAAAAAAAAATAGTATGAAAGCACGGTGCTTGAGGGTTGCACGACAGTTCAAATTCAACTTAAGCTCATCCAAATGCTAAGAACATATTTTTATTTTTATTTCAAATCATGTTTATCCTATATTTGAGACAAATTATTTTTATTTGGCTTTCCAAATAAAAATAACAAATATATTTTAACAAAAAAAATGACCAAACTATACTAAGGAGTATTTTGGTACTTCTCATTTAAATTTTTGTTATTATTTGTATTTTATTCTCCCAAAAAAAATTCCAAACCCTAAATTTCAAATAAATATAAGATTTAAATAAAAATTACAACTAAAAACATATTCTATAGCCTTAGGCCTTTAATCCTCATCATTGCACACCCTTCCAATCGCCCAGCTCAGGTCAGGTGTGGATGGGAGACTTTCCCTTTTAAAAAGGAGCTCTTGCTCTTTAGTAAATCAATCATATCGCGCACTGCTAGTATAACTACTAAAAAACAAATATGAGTTTCCAAATACAAACTTGTGCAGCAAATAGTAGTTATCCAAGCTTGCATTGAGGACAAACTTCTCAGTAAGAGAACCCTGTTTCAAGAGAAGCAATGGAAGTGCGCCATGAGAGAGAGAGAGAGAGAGAGAAGCCATGGACGTGCTAAGAACAGGGCAATCTAGCCCATGCCCATTGTCACCACGACTCGGCAGCACCATCATCCCAACCAATGCATGAACTTAGCACGAAAGAGAGAGAGAGAGAGAGTCCTGCACTCATCAAACAAAATGCGCACTAATACAGTTCCTCCCGAGAAGCTCTTCCACAAGAATAAATTAGGCAAAAAAGATTTTCAAAAGCCAAAAACAGGCAAAAGACTACTACTAGTAGAAGGCCATAAATATTCATCTCAGCCTTTCACGTCTATTTCCTAAACGAACGTCCACCACGACCAAAATGGCCACTATGACCACGCCCTCTTCCGCCACGACCACCACCTCCACCATGATTCTTTGTCTCCTCCAGGGCTCTGTCAATATCAGTTTTTGCCTTCATGTTTTCAGGCAAAGGGAGTATCTTATCAACGCATTTTCGATAACTGAAGTCATCAGCTAATCCATCATCCCTTACAATGAAATAGCATTTGCTTTTCCACAGTGGATGATATCGAACTTGAAAAGCCCTGATGCCATTGCCAATCTTCTTGTCCGGGTCAGGGTGACCCCTCTTGATCAGGTCCATCAACACCATGTGCTCATACTGAAACAGATTGTGTAACTTGATAAACTTTGTTTTTTCAGTTGCTGACAAATTTAATCATTGAATTGATCTAGAAGAGGAATGGAGAACTACTGATTACACAAAGAATATACCTCATCTATTCATTATGATAAACATAAAGGAATTCAAGCATTACTATAGAAGAGAACTTGATCAAACAATTGTTATCTTTTTCTCTAATGAACTACCATTTTTAAATATAGGCTTTTTGATAAAAAGGTGATTTAACTGGTGCTGTGTGACCTTTTCTATAGTTCTGTTCCCTAGATCTAAAGCACATCCCAATGCCACAAAACTGAGTTATTCCACAGGCCATAACAGAGCACCATTGAAGCACGATCCAGTTATTCACAAGCACAACCAACAACAAAGCTTGGATATGGTTACTATAAACTCTCATTGCAGATCCTGGTAAGGTTACTTGCAAAATGGAGGATAAATATGGAGCAAGATTAACCTAAAAAAGAAATGGACACCATAGACCAAACATTTCAAGGAGAAACTCACATTGGGATGTAATTTAGATAGTAGAGCGCTCGTTCAGTATGCAAGAGGAACAGGAATCAATACCCTGCATCAGCATATTGCATCCAATTGATTCTTTTCTGTCCTTTATTAGTGATAGAGGTTAATGCAGTTGCTCCCCTAGCTAGATTAGCAAAAGAAAGATTTCAAAGTGTAAAGTGAATTTATTATGTCAAATTTTTACCAGAAAAGATAACTGCCGTGAGTGGTTTATACTTCCTCCAAGTAGCTGGATGGCAATTGGGTGAAAACAGAGAAGAAGAAGGGCCTTCTCTTTAAACCTTAACTGAAAGCAAAGGCTTAACAAGATTTAAGGTACAATTTATGAGGTTTCATAGTTGTGGGAACCTAGGGGGTAAGGCTGCAGTCGTTGCTTAGGAACTTGATCATGTGGTACCCTTAAGGGATCTTAGAGCGAGCTGGATTTATAGAAATAGAGATCTCGCTTCCTATAAAATGGGATATTAGTCCACATGCTTGTAGGACCCCTCCAACGAGAGGAGATATACTATTAATCCAACTGCTGCGCCTTTCCTTGGTATTTAAGATTCATTTTCCTAGCATATGTTAAACCGTGGTTAATATTACATCGTAGCATACTAGAATTATGGTATTAGAAAACTAGAATTTAATATCATAGTAAGCCAATTTATGATATTATTAAGCTGTATTATCGTAGTAAATTGGAGTACTATAACCATGGCATTGGTAACAAGCTAACTGATGTATGATAATGGATCGAGCAAGCATTTTATCGATCCTAATTTTGATCATATACTATTAATCGATCTCATTTTATGTATAATGGAGCATAGATCCTTCCAAGTGAAAACATCGATCCCAATGAAATGGGATCTCACTCCCAGGTATCCTAGGATCTAGCTCCTTAACCTGTTGAATATACGGATATCAAACCTAACCCCAAGCATTTTATCGATCCTAATTTTTATCATATACTATTAATTGATCTCATTTTATGTATAATGGAGCTTAGATCCTTTCAAGTGAAAACATCGATCACAGTGAAATGGGATCTCACTCCCAGGTATCCTAGGATCTAGCTCCTTAAGTTGTTGAATATACGGATATCAAACCTAACCCCAGGTTCCACCCTGTATTGATTCAAGGTTCCCCAACAACTATGTGAGGCTTGCATTTTTTGTATCTACCATGTTTATAAAGAATATTAATCTTAATGAACCTAATGTGATATTTGAATTGAACAAATAACCAGATGAGGGCAATGACCATATATATCGGATTCGCATACCCATTGAATAGAAGCCCAATCCCAAGAGTAGACCAAAAGATTGACAACAAGGCAGCCAAATGGGACACTTTGCCTTACCAGTTCAAAATACTATTAGCACGGCTTAGATTTCAGGACTGGGTTGGGGAGTTATAGCATGGTTTGTGAGAAGCGAGATTAACTAGCCTCAAAATGTGAATGAGACTTTAATAGGTCAATGGAGAGATCAAAGAAAAGAAAATATCAAAAATAAGATCAAGGAATGGAATGGGATACGTATACGTAGTGATAAGAGCAGGTAAAGTGTCTGGAGTTTGACAAATGCATATACAATTTGAACTAAGAGCTCAGCCAACAAGGCATTGTTAGGGAAGTGGCATTGAAGGTTCAGGGGCGAATCTGGATCTGGATGCTCGAGGTTCAAGACTGCAAAGGAAAAGTATAGCCATAAAAGCGATACAAATGGAGTTAGGCTATAGGGTAGAACTACTTGAGTATCTGGTGGTCGGTGTAGTATACGTTTTATAGGGATTTAGGCCAAAGTTAACTACAGCATTAGGTTTAGAGTGAGGTGCAATACAACTTGACACATGATCTGGTACTAAAGCATTGCAACTCCCATTTCATCTTCTTAAGGTCATGCATTTAGGTATCATAGGTCAGAGTACAATTAGTTCAAGTGGAGAGGAGGTGGTTGTGGTGCATGGGTTTCGTACGTTGATGATCCCAAGTGTTGCCTCGTTATCAGCAAAAAGGTGCTCACAGTTGATGAAAGAGACATTTGCCTCACAAGTTGGTGTATTATCTGCAAAGAAAGTGCTTGAGATCATAGACCATCTATTTCTTCATCCCTTTGCCAGTCAGGTCTACTCCTTTTATTCTGGTATTAGGTTACACCAGAGTATTTGCAACTGCATGTTACCTACTTCTACATCCCCTTCCATCCAGGGCAGGCTTGTTCCATTCGTGAGCATCCATCATGTCTTCATTTTGGACATGTCATTGGAGCAAAATAGGATATTCTTTGACAGTCAAGGGTCTCATTTAGGTGCCACAAGATACAAGATCAAAGCCTTAGTCATATTTCGGCTACTATCTGAGAGTCCAAGTCTCTCTTCCTCATATTTTTCATCAAACCGGAAAGTTGTCACTCCTTCCATTCCCATGTTGATTCCAAAACCCCACCGTTAGCTAGCACCAATGGGTACTCGGGGCATTTTCAGTTATTGCTCAGCCACCTCAATGCTAAACTATTTGGGGCCTATTGGGGTTACTTCATCTACCTTAGTTAAGAAAACGGTGCTTCAAGATGCTTGATAGGAGATGGGCTCCTGGCTCCTCGCTGATTGTAGAAGGTCTTTCGAAGAATGTTATTAATTGGGCTAGAAGAGTCCTAGAGACTCCTTGGTGTTGGGAGAAGGTGTTCAACCAAATCACTGAGATTTGCAGACATCTACTAGTCACATTCAAACATACATGAAGAGAATTCAATGCAATTGCTGACTCACTAGCTCAGGGGGTTTCTAATGCATCTTTGGCAACTAATCACCCTAAAACATGAGTGTGTTTTGGTTTTCCAGCTTTTTTGCTTTTTGGAAGTTTGTAGAATACGGCATTCTGCCCAGCCCACAATTTTGGATAGCCTAGTAGTGATCAGCATAGGGCAATTTAAGCAATCAATACGCTTAACATAATTACAACAAAATACGCAACAGTGTTACGGGACTCGGCCCATTCCGCTCAGACTCACCAGTCCAGTGTAGATACACAACCAAACCAAGCCTTTTTTGGGGGGCTTTCACACATTTCCTCTCTCTCTAAAAGGGGGTATGTCCTCCCTTTTTTCTTCTCTCGCTACTGTCTAGCAGGGCTTGTTCCCTTCCTACTCTCTCTCTCTCTCTCTCTCTCTCTCTCTCTCTCTCTACTACTACTACTACTACTACTACTACTACGTACGTACGTACGTACGTACGTACGTACGTACGTACGTACTACTACTACTACTCTACTACTACTACTACGTACGTACCGTACGTACCGTACCGTACTACCTACTACCTACTACTACTACGTACTACTACGTACTACGTACGTAC